TAGGAAACTCTAAGTGAAAAATTGAGATTTGAAAATTTTCCGACGATCGTGAAATTAATTTTGCAAGCAGTTTATATGTTCACGATTAGATCGCTTCGTGCAGGTGCCGTACGATATTAAATTTTACTTAATGACGAAGCACGAACTCTACTTTATGAAATGTAATCGCGATTCAAGCTCATGCGTGAGAGAAAATTGAGAAAATTAACGACCGGCGGAAGATCTATAACGCGGATGATGTGATTGCGCAATCTTTGTGGCGCAATTCCTTAGCGTGTTGACGCATTGTTCGAGACACTTGGAAGATCGCATTCAATAAAACTGAATAATTTTACAAAATTCTGAATGTTCAAAGTGTATACACAATATTTTAAGCGTCTACCAGATAGTGTTGGGGTTTGAGGTTTGATTAATCAAAATTTCCTCCGATAAAAATCGTCGACCAATCAATAATCTAAGTTAATCAGTTTCTAAATATATATACATTGGGAGTAAAATACTTGAAAATTTATTTGCCACATTTATATAAAATATGCATTATCATTAATATTATTATTTGAAAAAGCGATCTTCCAATTGTTTTGAGCAGTGTGATTTTTATTGGACGGTACGTACACATACTACAACTACAGCAAAGTAAACCGCATTGATTCGATAAGCATGCACTACATCGAAAGACTTTTTATCTTTCTATTATCAATATGTTTCTTGTTTTGACTCACCAAATCGCCGATCAGGGTAGCCACATTCTGCTTTCGTTTCTGAAACAGAAAAATGCCATTTCGCCGATTTGATTCGTGCATTTATGACGATTTGAATGAAGAAGTATAAAGGATTAAAAAACATAAACGCGATATATTTTTCATACTGGAAGATTTTTTCGGCATGCATTCATACTTGGAATATTCCACTTTCCTTTTTCTCATTACAAATAAATCTCTTAATCAGAACAAATCAAAATTTTTCAATGGTAATGTTACTCAGAAAAATTTTCCCGCGTGTAATTACGATTTAACGCGATTTTTTATTCGATTCAAACTATCTCGATGTCGAGCAAGAGAATTATCAACCTTGTCGGATTTCTAATTGCAAATGTTAATTAATGAAGCTTACCTTCGAGCTAACCCCGTTCGGCCCGAGCCAGATCCTCCGGCGCAGCATCCCCTTAGAGTCGAGTGCTCGTCTCTGCAACAAAAAACAGATTTAATTGAGTATTAATTAATTATACGACGATGAAGACATTAAGCAACTCGATTCCAAGCAAGAAAATTTTCAGTTTTGTCGGATTTCTAATTATAAATATAAATTAATGAAGCTCACCTTCGAGCCAACTCAGACAAGCCCGAGCCAAATCCTCCGGCGCGGCATTCCCCAGACATTGCATCCCCTAGAGCCGCGTGACTGCGTCTGCTCAATTGATCTCTGTGACAGAAATTTATTTTAATTTAATGATTTAATAATTTAGTATTAATTAGTTACACGCGACAGCAAAACGAGGAAAAGAAATCGTCGTAACGGCACGCTCGAGTTCCTTCCAAATGCGTAATAAAAAATAATTAAATCATAGCTGAATACAGAAGTAATAATATTCAATTAATTAATGGATAATGATATTAATATCTGATCGACAATCATATAATAATATCAGGTAGTATCTATTAATTACACACGACAGCAAGACGAGGTAAGGAAATCGTCATAACGGCACGCTCCAGTTGCTTTCCAATACGCAATAAGAATAATTAAATGACAACCGAATAAAGAAGTAATAATACTCGAAAAATAAGTGGATGATGATAATATTTCATCGGCATTGAAGAACTCGATCGCGAAATTTGTCTATCTAACAAGTAAAAAAGTAATTGAAACGCGGTAATTACCTGTCGCGGTAAAGCTCGCAACACCTGCTCGCGTGAGGAGTACGCGTCTTAATTTGTCTTAATTATCGTCTCAATTCGCGAAGTCGAAACGCGGTACTAAACATCGGCACGGAATAATTTAAAAAATAACGCGGCAGCTCCCGATGTGCTCGTCTCAACGGTTGAGAGTGTGTGGCGTAAGTTACGCCGTAACGCTCGAGCACGTGCTCGCGCACGCGTGTTTACATGACCCGGCCTCCCCACCTCTCAAGCGCCGCTCAGTCGGCGGCACGAATGGGCCGTTACGACGATATGTTTACCTAGCCTTTGTGGAGCCTAGAGTTTTTGCCCAGGTATTGTTATTACCGATTATTCGATCATTATTATTTCGTTATTATCCACTCGCGATATTATCACACGATTGTCAAAGATATTATTATCACTACCATTTAATATTCGAATATTATTACTTCTTTATTTGATTATTATTTAATTTATTTAGTTATTAGTTAATTATTGCTATTACGCATAGGAAAGCAACTCGGGCGTGCAGTTACGACAATTTCTTTACCTCGTCATTAATCAGTAATTATTGCTGTTGTCCAGTTATTGTTATTTATTGTTATTACCGATTATTCGATCATCGTTATTCCGTTATTATGCACTTGCGGTTATTATCACACGATTGTCGAACAGATATTATCATAATTATTATGAAAAAGTAACAATACTTAAATAATAAATGGTAATGATAATAATATCTGCTCGATAATCGTGTGATAATATTCACGAGTGGAGAATAAAGAAATAATGATGATCGAATAATCGGTAATAACAATATTTGGGTACAACGGCTCTAAGAAAAACTCTAAGCTCAACAAAGGCTAGATAAACCAACCGTCGTAACGTCCTGCTCGGGCTGTTGACTAAGCGACGCTGGAGGGGGGAGGGGACGCGCAGTCGGGTCATGCAAACACGCATGTGTGAACACGTGCTTGAGCGTCACACCATAGCACTATCAACCGTCGAGGTGAATACATTGAGAGTTGCTACGTTATTTTTTACATTATTCCGCGCCGATTTTTAATATCGCGTTTTGACTTCGCGCCAATTGAGGCGATAATTAAGACAACTTAAGACGCGTACTCCTCACGCGAGCAGGTATTGCGGGCTTTACCGCGACAGGTAATTACCGCTTTTCATTTACATTTTTACTTGTTAGGTAGAGAAACGTCGCGATCGAGTTTCTCAATGCCGATCAAATATTATCATCATCCATTTAATATTCCAGTATTAATACTTCTTTATTCAATTATTATTTAATTTATTCGGTTATTAATTAATTATTGCTATTACGCATAGGAAAGTAACTCGGGCATGCCGTTACAATTTCTTTACCTCGTCTTTTATCAGTTATTATCGCCGTTGCCTACTTATTATTATTCATTGTTATTACCGATTATTCGATCATCGTTATTCCGTTATTATGCACTCGCGGCTATTATCACACGATTGTCGATCAGGTATTATTATCACTTCCATTTATTATTCGAATATTATTACTTTCTCGTAATAATTATAATAATATCTGTTCGACAATCGTGTGATAATATCCATTGGTGCATAATAACGGAATAACGATGATCGAATAATCAGTAATAACAATGAATAATAATAACTGGGCAACGGTGATAATAACTGATAAAAGACGAGGTAGAGAAATTGTAACGGTATGCCCGAGTTGCTTTCCTATGCGTAATAGCAATATTTAAATAATAACCGAATAAATTAAATAAATAATTAAATCAATTAAATCAATTAATAATTAAACAAATATTGCACTAACTGACAGCTCAAAATTTTAATTTAAACATATTTTTTTCACTTTCGTCACATATTGAGCAATGCTCCAATTAATTTTTGCATGCACTTTTGTTGTGTAAAAGCGTTTGTAATTCTGTACAAGCAACAAAACGTAAACTTTGCAAAAAAAAGTCAATGTTATGTTGGTAAAATTTTCATGTCCGGCATCCCCTTAAGCGGTAAGAAGATTGATTAATCACTAATCGATTCTTCTTGACTAATCATTAATCGATTTTTCTTGAATCATAAGGAGAATCATCAGCTGCAGTCGGTCAGTTTATTTTCTGATTAAATTTTACTGCTCACGTTTTTCTGTATGCAGGTTTAAAGATATACAACATGTTGAACATAAGTAATATGACATAATCGGACCGTAAGTCAATTACAACTGAGAAAAATACATACACCCAAAGTAAGTTTTCGTCCGAGAAAATTTCAGAGTAGTGCAAACCTGTGAAAATTACAACCCTTCTCCCGATCGACTCTGTTAAACGCGCTTCGAAGTTGCTCTGTTAAACGCGCATCGAAGTGTGTTCATCTACAAGGAGGGCAGGAGAACGTCACGCGGGGTTGATTGCGCGGGCCGAAAGACCAGGGGTGATCCCGAAGACGAGAAAAACGAAGAAGCAGAGCACGCGAGGATCGAGGGAGAGCGCAAGAAAGGAGGCACGCGGAAAGACGGGGGCTGGTGCCGGGTCTTCGCAGAATCCGCGGGTGCCGGGGCAATAAATCTGGCGGGTATATCTGAGCTCATGAATGTTATTAAGATACAACCCCCCGCGAGCTGAACGCGCGCGTGGGGCGTGTGCACGTTACCGACGTAGGGAGATATAGGCGTCAGTGCCGAAGAAGGCGAGGAGCTTCTTGCGAAAAGAGAGAGGGACGGGAGAGAAAGAGAGAGAAAAAAGAGAGAGAGAGAGAGAGAGAGAGAGAGTCGTAGAGGCCCAGCCAGGAGAGAACGTCGCCGAAGGAGCGGCGAGGACGGCCACGCCGGTCGTGGAAAGAAGAAGAGAAAAGAGACTGGCGACCCGGAGAAACGGTTATGAAGAAATACCGCCACCGGTAATCCCATCATAGATCACCGCCTCTGGTGGCCGCCACTGTGTGCCTTCAGCTCGTTTCTTCGTCTTTTCTCGCTCTCCTACCGCCGCTCTGTACTCCCTCCCCTCCGTCTTCTTTGCCTCCATCGGTCGTGCGGTTTCCTCCTTCTCGTTGCCTTTCGGCCGCCGCGTCTTAATACCGAGGACTTAACACGCTTAACGAACATTCGCGCTCGATGTCGCGCGGAAAATCGTCGTGCGTCAAAAATGGCGGGAGCGAGCGTCGTTGCGCTGATACGCGCCGGGATTGTGTGCGCCGAGACATGAATCGATAAATGGATCCGGAGTGCAAAAGAGAGTGTGAAACAGGTGTTGAAGGCGTGTGTTAAGTAAATCCAGTCCTTTCTCTGTGTGGAACTGAGTCAAAAGTGAGCGATCTACCATAAGAGTAATAATTGAAAGGTCACGGTTAAAAAGACAGGCTACATTTATAATTATTATCATTGACTCTTCCAAGTCCTGTCGATGAGATTGAAAAAGGGTGACTTAATACCGTTTGATGGATACTTAACTTTAGTCTGACATATTGCAGTCCTTTTCAATCTTACTTGACTTTTAATTTTGAATCACCTGCAAACTAGTGGAATAAGAACTTTCGGTTCACGTTCTAAAAAAATTATTTGTTTTTGAGTATATTATCAAGGTTTCTATACCATTAAATTCTAATCACAAACAAGAAAAAAAGATTCAGGTATAGTTAATTTTTGTAATAATATTAATAAAATACTAAATATAATGAATTAACACTGCAAAAACTTGAAACTATTAATGATTCGCCTCTTAACTGGAAAAACGATATATTTTCGCATAAACAAATAACTATAATTTTTGACGAACTGAAGTGTATGTATGCAATATTTTTTTTTTTTTTTATTTAAATATAGACAATAAAATCTTAGAGTGCTAATTTCTCAAATCCGTTTTCAGCAAAATTACATATTTCTGTGTAAACTCATATTTTCATCAGATTTCTCTTTATACTAGCAATAAAATGTAATACTTAAATATATATTTGCGATCATTTCTTTACATAATTCTATTCTACGGATCTGAAAGTATATTCACTATCTTCATAAATTTTTATTAGTACTCCTATGGAGTGTAAATAAATAAGATGAAAATGACCTCAATGTGTCAGATTAAAGTATCTGAAACATGTGTATCATGTGAGCGCTAATAGTCTCGACATTGATATATCAATAAGTGAAGAGTTAGAAAAAAGAAAAGATATTACATGTCTATCTGTGCGTCTCTGTCTTTCACAGTGAAATAGAAAAATGTTATGGATAAATATAGGTTTTGATGTATCTAATCGCGGAGATGTCGCGCGAAATCAGTTTGAGAAGAGATTATCGCTGAAGTGTAAACTTCACATATATCTTTTACTTTACTAAGTCGTGAGTTTCTCTCGCACTGACTTCCTTAATAATTTATCATCGTAAGTTAGTCGCGCAAACAGACACAGCAGATCCCCGTTTTGCAATCTAACATCTCCAGCGCCGAGCGGAAGATTAGGATCTTAGCATGTTAGGAGGTTGAGCGATCCGTAGCACGAGGTGGAATACTTTATTTTAAGGATTATTACACCGCTGCGTTATTGCCGCTCTGGCGAGCTATGCAAACGGCATGTCGAAAAATTTGCTCGCCAATGAAAGACTTCACGTTGTCTTGAAACTATCGAACGCATAAGCACGCGTGTGTTCTCTCTCTCCTTTACTCTCTCTCCCCCTCTCTCTCTTTCTCTCTCCTTCTCTCGTCAATTAATTAATTGAGCTTTGCAGTATGAAATGGACCGCGGTCCTCGACATCAAAGCGAGGCTCGGGTCTTCCACCCATCCCCAGCTGTCTGTCAAAGTGTCCTGCTTGCCAATTAATAAAGGACCTATATATTTGTCCATCAGTTCGTACGATGTCTTATCCTGTAATAGTAAGTAAATATAGAGATCCCACGACTCGTCGCACATGAGTGAATCGATCGGTGCTACAGCATGACGACGCGGAATCATCTTATCTGGTTTGAACTTCATTGAATGTTAACAACGAAAGTTACGACAAATTCCGCAAGTCGTCGAATTTATGAAAGACAATAAAAGGCAAACGTTGCATTTAAAAAATAAATCTTTATGTTGTCGCGAGATTTTTCATCATTAAATTACTTGAAATTTATTGCAATAATATGTATGAAATTAACACAAAAATTCAATTTGCTTTTACTACGACTAGAATCGAATCGATTCTTCTTTTTCTTCGATAAAATGTTATAACATTTTTATAGAAAGAATAAATTCTCCTTTTGAGTGTATTATAATGAGCTTGTCTAAAATTTGCAGTGTGGTATCTTTTAAGAGATTGTTGTGAAGAAAATATTCTTTGTTGAAGATATCCATAACCAAAAGAAAGAGGGTGAACTGAGCAGTAGGATGAAGTTATCCTGTGTACAATTTCTGCTAGCGACAAATTCATCCCGTTATATCCCAAACGAGAAACGCCGCTTCGTCGATGGCCCGATCGTCGCGATTCCGCGATCTCCCGTGAAAACGTCGCGAGACAGCCGACGTCCGGATTTCTTTCTCGGAGATCGACTGCGTCGAGAGCATCGTCGTCCCGGTAGAGATAACGCGGGGGTTGTGTACAACGTATACGTAGTAAGCCTGAAGGGTGGTTTATGTATCGCGGGGCAAGATATCCGATGATTTAGCTGCGGTCTCGAGGCTCCGCCGAGAGTCTTCTTATCTCGCGGGTGCCCGCAGTAACCGCGGTGTAATCTTTTATTAATTCGGCGACTTACGAAATTTATCGCGGCTTTTGTTTACCGCGACGCCGCGCATCTTAAATCTCTCCTCCCATCTCCTCCGTTGCCCACCGGCCCTTCTTCCATCTTCTTTGCATTATCTGACCGTACCTTTCCGTTACTGCAGCCGCCGCGAGTCTTGGCGGCTCTATCAGGACGCTTTGCGCGAAAATCTTAGACACTCCCGGTGCTACGTGACATATTCGGCAATTTGTTCTAACATTACAGAAGGCAGAGGAATACGAAAATATTTATCGCACGTCTCGGAATCCGATAAGTCCCGCAGAACGGACGACCTATGAATTTGAACATTCGCAACGAAAATCGCGAATTCTGTGTGTATTTCAGACGCACAATTGCGACCTATATAAATTTCAAAATTATTTTGAAAAAAGGTTATATATTTTTCCGGTGCGTCTCGAATTTTTCTCATAAATAAACCTACCCAAAAAGTATACTCCGATTTCTTTCTAATTTAACACAAATATAGAAGTACAAAAAATATTAGATTAGAAAAATATTAGATATTTTTTCACTTTGGTCCATTTTGAGTTTCACGGGCAGTTTATATATTTTTAATGTTCTCACTCCTATCAACAATACGTACAACAAAAATTAATAAGAAATAAAATTGAATATAAGATATAATTAAATAATTTTAACAAAATCTGCATAGCTGAGCACGAACCTTTCTAAATTTCTTTAGTCGGGATTCCAACCGAAATATTCCAAATCTGTGCTAAATTAGTTAAAAATAGTTTGAATCTCGGCCAAACCAAGATCCGGCAATTTTAATAAAAATTTTAACAAAATCGGTATAGCTGAGGCACGAACCATTCTAAATTTCTTTAGCCGAGATTCCAATCGAAATATTTCAAATCTGTGCTAAATTTGTCAAAAATAGTTCGAATCTCGGCCAAACCAAGATCCGGTAATTTTAATTAAAATTTTAACAAAATCGGCATAGCTGAGACACGAACCATTCTAAATTTCTTTAGCCGAGATTCCAACCAAAATATTTCAAATTTGTGCTAAATTAGTCAAAAATGGTTCGAATCTCGGCCAAATCAAGAAATTATTTGTATAAATAATTTTTTCAACTTTTTACATATTTTATTTAAACGTTTTACTTTTTATACAAATAATTTTATATATTTGACTTTATGTTCATAATCAGTAAACCAAAAACGTCTATATCTTGTATTCAATTTTATTTCTTATGCATTTTAGTTGCACTTGTTGATAGTAGGAGTGAGAACATTAAAAAGCTATAAACTGCCCGTGAAACCCAAAATGAAAAAATATGACCTAAATATTTTTTGTACTTCTAAATTTGTGCTAAATTAGAAAGAAATCGGAGTGTAACTTTTTGATAGGTTTACTTGTCAAGTCTCATTTTATTTCACGGTCCCCCACCGAAATAATGATTCTAACTTGATGATTATCGGCTGAACTCGATTTTAACGAGCTGTGTCGTCGAAATTGCTTCTGTCTATAATAATCGGGGACGTGTGTGTTAAACGCAAACGGCACACACACTTGCGCGCACACGTATACGCGCGATCGACGCGGGACTCCGCCGAAGTACACAATTCCGGCTATACGCGCGTATTCCTTATAACGGTGTCGGAATGGCGCTATATTATTATTAGAGTCCCTTAAGTCTAAGAGCCTTAAATCTGCGATAAGTTATGGGCACCCCTTTTCCCTCTCCACCGTGCGGGGAACCTGCCAGCCACTACCTCCAACCGCCACGTTCCACACCTTATACCATTTCCCTGTAATATCTTAGTCTACGACGGCGCCTCTTCGGCCTTTATCTCGCATACATTACACACCCCCGAGAGCGGACCAGGGAGAACGGCTGCGGGGGTAGGAAAAGCTGCAACTCTCTAAAGGGGGCGGAAGGATAATTGAAAATAACTGCTGCCTGCGAGAGAAGCCGGTATCTCTAATCCCTTCTATTCTAACCAAGATAAACCTGCGAGATCATCTTCGCGATGCACGCGAGTCCCTCGGCAGATTGACGAAGTGTATTTGAGATGACCGCAATTCGTTGTGTCTGGGCGACTTCGCCTTCCATCATCTCTACTTTATCGGAATAATACACCTAAAAATATATGAAATTAGCGTATTTTTTATATTATAGCCTTGAGTGGATTCTTCTAAAATCAAAAGGAAAATACTCTAACGCTAAAAAAAGAACTCTACTTTCAAGATATTATTTTCTCATTCCTTATTCTACACACAAAGAAAAATATCATTTCGCTGTTTAGAAAAGTGTTTACTCAGCTTATTTATCTTCTTTTGCTCTCCAAACTTCCTGGAATGGAATTTTAGTCAAAACGAGTGAAGAGTAGCAGTATTTTCACTTGAGACGATTTTACTTAAATGAAAATACTGTCACTCAAAGAATGAGGAATTCACTAAAATTTAGAATGATTTCTCACTCCATATAAGCGAACGTTTCAATCGATTATATACGTTCTAACAGTGAAACACATCAAATTCACTCTTCAATTTCGAGTAAAGATATTTACTCGATGACTTAGAGTGGAGATTTCACTATATATGAGC